TCAGTTCCCCTCAGAGATACATTCATATAAACTCCTACTCCAATTGTATCGTGATTTGTTTGGCATCTCAAACGATTTGAACCGTTGCATATTTGAATCTATTTTCAACCGGCTCGCGGATCATCGTTACATCCCTACAAATAAATGAATAATACTATCTATCAAATTAATCTTTAGCTTGATTTTCTGTTTTCGTTTTTGGCAAATGAATCATACTTAAAATATGAGTGTAATGAGGCAGAGAGAGAGTTTGTAACAATAATTGTACAAAAAGAATACAACAACCTTCTGTTAATCGGCACTTCCTGTAGACTCGGATGTCTAAAGGTCATTCACACCAAGAACGATAACTATAAAGACAACAATATTAGCATCCATACCAATGGATGCTAACAGTCTGAAGATTGAATACTCAAGTTCTATAAAGTCGCCTGGATTTATCTTTCAGTTGGGGGGGGGGGTAATCTGAAAGTGATTCCAACAATATTGTTTCTTTTATAATTAATTCTTAACTAAACTTTATAGTTAATTCTATACATATCATCCTTGGTGTGAAAGGGCCTTAACAGGATAGTTCATGCAAAAATTAAAAATTATTTTACTCGCCCTCAAATTATTCTCGTATAGGTTTGGACAAGTGATTAAGCGATGACACAATTTTCATTTTTGGGTGACATAATCCTAAAACCATTTTTATGGAATTCAAAAATCTCCCACACTACCTTTTTTTTTGGGTGTGTGTTGTTGAGTGTCTAAGGGAACCCTGGAGTTTGACGTAAGAGGGAACCTGTGACAAAATAAACATCAAATTAAGCAAAATGACGGAACAAAAAACAGTGAGGTAGTCATCAAGTGCCGTGTTCATTACAGCAGCATCTCTGAGATCTCGAATTAGTTAATTAGCAGAATTCATTACTCCTCCACCTGTTGGTGATGTCATTAATGACAGTCCTATATTGTTGAACCAATGTGCTTCAAACAACGGCATTGCGAGCATGTTTCGACAGTTTTGGGAAATTATCATATGTGCAGTATTAACATATCAATATTTATTTATTTTTAAAAATGTTTATTTTCTGTACTGGTATTGTGACACCCATGAAACTGTTATGTTAATTAACAAGGACAATTCAAATAATAAAAAAATATATATAGCTGCAAGCAGCGATTACCAGGGTTCAAGTGCTTTAAAGCAACACTGTCATTTTTTTACCTTAAAATAATGTCTCTAGAATTATTTCAGTGGTAGAACAACTCATAACCTGATGAATTCTACTGCTGCTGCTACCTGAGCAGCCTCCTAGCGGCTAAAACCACACTCTGTAAGTTTTGTGTTCGGGACGGCACACGCAGCCCCGCCCATCCCCTGCCAGCAGAAGAGTGTGACCTGCTTTACGGCAGACCTCACATACAGTGTTTTACTCGTAACCTGGGTGGAGTTAGCCAACAGCTAACTATAAGACGAAACGATCTAATATGCAAGTCTCAAAACCAATGCCATGGCAGGGCCAGCAAAGAAAACGAAGAGGGTTTTGTCGGAGGAAGCTAAATAGTGAATAGTTTTTGGACACTGGCTGTAACCATGTGTACCATGTTTGTTTCGACACCCAAGATCCAAAAACGAATTCCCCAGTCTAACGTTACTTCGTCTAAACGGTTATTCAAATAAAGAGGCTCTGTTACTTTACAGCCTTACAAACTTATGACAATATCTGATGTATAAGGCATTATGGACATTATGGTTTCATGATTGCGCAGACAACATTTTATTCTATTATACAGATTACACCATTTGCGAACAATGCTACATACGAACTATGCAAGCAAAAAAAAAAACTAAGCTAAAATAATACCATTATTTTTGTCATCGTAGTTTTCAATTCTGGAGTAACAGTAAATAAAACTGCAATGATATTTGTAGAACATAGTGTAACACGGGCTACTTTACCTGGGCAGTGGACATGGTTTCCAAACGAGGTTTCTGCATTCGCCGGTTCCGTCAGCTTAGTCAACAAATTCACATGTATTGCGCTGCCCATGTGGAAGCTTATACAGCGACAGTATTTACGACACTGGTAACAGAAAATTGCGCGTATCAACCGCATGGGGGAACCATGAGCAAATGTTACATGGTGTTGCTTTAAGGCATTTAAGCACATATGAAAAAAGACAATACATATTATTTAGCAAGCCTGTAACCACCTAAATCAATTACTTAAATTAGGATTTTGGGCAAATCCAGGTAATTTACCATAGGAATATGATGATTTTTAATGTTTATGACTGTTATAGCGTCAAGCTGTGGTCCAATCTCCCTATAATTTTGCATACTTGTTTAGAATCACTTGTCGCATGTGCTCACCAGGTGTCGTGAAGTTTTGAGTTTTCGTTTAGGCTTTAGGGTATATTTGGATAGGCCTCTTTTCTCAATGACCCCATTATAGCTTCCCAAAGGGTAAATTTCTGTAATTTTTTTAAATTATAATTATTGACCTAGAGAGTCTAGAGAATTGTACAGCAGTGTTTTTTTTTCCAGAGCAAAAAACCTAGGACTAGTTTACAAATGTCTTTTTTTTTTCTCAGTCATTTAACAAACGATTTGATTGAAAGCAGTGGTTCTGAAGGCCAAGTTTTTTGGAATGAAGAGGTCTATCATATTATACGAATATTGTGTTTGTGTGAAAAACCACACAATATACAATCGTTTATGCCCTTGAAAAATTTGATATCGCAACCCCAACCCCCCCAGTTGCCGATTTCTTTCAAATTTCTCACCGACCTTTAGGGCTCTGAGTCACACAGGCCCACTGAGTTTTGTTCCGATGGACCTTCATTAAGCTTGCCTAATAGGTGCTCAAACTTCATCGGCCAATGGTGCCCATGTGTTTTGAGATACACAAATGTCCTTATAGATGTTGGACCAAGACCGTGCATTCCGATTATCATGTTGATAGGACAAATGGTTGCGTAGTTACAGCCATTTTTAAAATGTTTTTTTTTCCTCTTATAGTGCCACCAAGTGGCCAAGCTGCATGATTTTTTTCATGTTACCTCAGATTCTGCTCTTAAAGGGGTGCTATTATGCCTTTTCAACTTTAGTTAGTCTGTAATGTTGCTGTTTGAGGATAAAAAAGATCTGCAAAGTTACAAAGCTCAAAGTCCACTTCAAAAGGAGATATTTTAATTAACAGAAATCACTTTTCAAAAACTACAACGCATATTTTCCGGGATTTGTGATATCACAAATATCGACGAATGGTACGAGACCTGGTTGAGCTGCACTAGAGAAGGCAATGAGTAGTATCACTGTATCGGAGACACGCTAGCTTTCCCAAGGCAGACGAACTTAGAGTGGTTACAATCATCTGGGTTTAAATCACGCAACCATTTTCTAACAAAACATGCAAAGTAACAAGTAGAAAAAAATAAAAATGCACAAAGAACTTGTATGGAGATTTTTCCATCTACAGATTTTTCCCTGACCTTATTTTCTCTGTAAATTAAGGGTAGGGCTGCACGACAAATTGAAATGGAATCGAGATCGCGATTCGACAGAAGCTGCGATTGTCATGCGTATCTTTCAGTGAAGCACGGTTCTGTGATCAGCAGTAAATCTCCATCCAAAGGCCAGAGGCCGCTCTCGTGCTGAAACTCCAAATACGCCTCACAGAAGAAACCCAGAAAATGCCTATATCTGCAGCTGAATAATCAGAAGATTTAACTGCTTTCATTAATTCAACGTGACTAATAAACACACGACTACGGCAATATATGGTTTTTCTTGAGTTCTTATTATTATAATTTTTATTAAAATAAAGTATATATATAATGCAATGCCTTTATCAATGCTTAAATACACAGAATAAGGCACGCAACATTTCATAATAAGAAGCCACATCTCACAGAAGGATTTATTTCAATCACTTGACTGACGTTATGAAGTGAGTTTGGAGTAAAAATATGTTATTAAATGTGGTATTTTCACATGCTTTCAGATGGAGCCACATTTACTTCACAAAGCTGTAGTTCACGGAGGAGCTGTGCAAACAGCTGTCATTATCTCGAACGATTTCTTCGATTTCATAATCGCACAATAAAATCATCTGCAATTTTTTTGCGTAACTTGTCAGTGAACTATGGCTATGTGTAGTAAATTCTGTTCCATCTGAAAGCACGTGATGATGATTTCCTGCTGATTACAGAACCGGCATTACTATCAAAATGTGCATGACAATCGCATTCAATTAATCGTGCAGCCCCAATTAAGGGTGCACACTTATTGCTGAAAAACACAATCACTACTTAGCTGTCAGATGTCCGTATGCACAAAGGCACAGATCCCTAAGCAAGATCATATCTGCAGATGAAACATTTTTTGTAGAAGCATTTTTTAAATTTGAAATAGCACCTCATGACTACACCACGTTAAGTACGAGAAGCTGCAAAAGACACAAGCGCAAGTGGAATGTACAAAACATGGTGACATTAATTTTTAAGTAAATATAATGGCCGATATATTGCGTCACCAAAAGTTATTGAGGTCATCTACATATATTGCGCGATATATTGATTATTGCGACAGGCCTAGAGCCTGTTCTCGTGCACCCCCAAAACAAGATCAAGACTTTGTAAAAGAGCATAATAGGACCCCTTTAAGACACTTAAGAGACACTTAATTCATAAGACACTTAAGGCTGTGACTCAGAGTTTAGGAGTTATGAGCGATTTGTACTTTTGATCGCTGTAGCACCCCCGTCAGGCCGATTGGGGTGAGACTTGGTGACATTGTAGACTGTGTGAGTACTACCATCCCTCCCAAGTTTCAAGTCTCTACGACTTGGTCTGCCTGATCAGTTTTACGTGGAGATTGCTGATCCTCGGCCATTCTAACAATTACAATAGGGTTGCAGCGCTATGCGCTTGAGCCCCTAATGAATGGATAAGTTGTCAACATCATATATTAAAATATATATTTGTATAAATTTTTGCTTGATATCCAGGCTACTCAAGTAAGATCAGCCAGATGCCAGTCATCCTCACCCCACTGCACTTTGATCGTGACCCGCTGCAGAAGCAGCCGTCCTGCAGACGGTGCGTCGTCATCAGAACCTTCATCACCAGCGACTTCATGACAGGCATCGCCGCTACTCCAGACAACCAAATCCCTGAAGAGGTGAGAGATCAGATCCTCTATCCACACATAAAAACCCTACGTCATTTCCACACACTAACTCGTGCTCCCCTGGCCACAGGTGGTTCTCAAGATGGTCAACGAGATCAAGAAAATCCCAGGCATCTCTAGAGTGATGTATGACCTGACGTCCAAGCCACCGGGAACCACAGAATGGGAGTAGAACCGTGGACTTTTGTACCCTCTGATTTATCCTTGTCGACTCCTCTTCTACCTCCCCCTTTCCCAGTACTGCTACATTCCCCCCAAACCCTTTTTCTCCACTCCCGCGACCCCCTTTAGGCACGCCGCCCTGTCATTGTCCCACTGAGACCGGAACATTCCCTACAATGGCAGGTTGTACTGTGATTGGCGCTTAACTGACAACACTACTTCAGTTACGCCTCATTATCTGGGGTCGGTTGTAATATTGGTATTATAAGTGTTGTTATCCTCATCACTGATGATAATAATGATGATACGTTGGCTTTTTTTTTTTTTTTTAAATCAGCTCTCTGTAATGCATTGTGACTGGTCACTCCTCCGTACTTTCTGTTGTAGCCACTGAAGGTCAAAGATCATTTTAGGGCAGTTGACTGTCCATGTGCAGCATGGCACGAAGAAAGCAGTTTTTTAAGCAAATCCACTCGTTCAAGGGTTACGTTCCAAGTGTTGCTGCTTTTTGCCTTTAAGATAAACTTGTTTTCACTAACTCGGTTTGTGCAGTGTTGATTTCGGTTTGGATTTCTTGCCTGAACTCTTCTATGGAAGTGGCAGGTAAAGACTAGCAGTAGTAGCTCCTTAAACGTGACCAATCGATGTTTATTTGCCAAATACAGATGAGATCAGACAGTTTGCTAAATGCCGCTCTTACGCTGTGGACGGGTTGGTTTATCACAGAGGTTTTGCTGTGAAGGAGACTCCTAAATCTGGAGGCCTCCTGAAATTTGTGCCTGTTTTCTTTTCTTTTTTCCCTTTCGGTTACTTTGTTTTTCAGGGATGCGACTTTATTTTATGCTGCATTATTTTCTAGAAAAGGATTATTGACATTTAAATAGTGAGAAGTGAGAAAATGTTTTGTAATTTTTGGTGTTTGCATTTTACATCACCATCATAGTTGAGTTTGCCTGGGCTGGTAAGATCGACAGTGTACTTATTTTCACCAATAAAGGCCTTGGTATTTTTTTTGTTTTGTTCTAGGTAGAGCAATAGTGTTTCCAAAGGCAAATGAAAGGAGATTTACAGAGGGAGGAAGAATAGGTGATTGACAGGAAACAAGCTGAAGGGCATCATCCCACAAAGTACGCCAAGTCCTTTTGAGCTAAGTTGGGCTTAACTGAATTTGGACCACTGTCAATATTTGAGTCAGTCCTCCTGTGTGTGTGGCCTCATTATTATTAATATTCCACTCTTTAACAGAAGCGTGTTCTTATGTATAGAGAGAGGGGGCTTTGATTGGGCTCAAATGGAGATCTGTGTCCAGCCCTCTGTCTAATTTATGATGTAGAGAATTGTTGTGATATGAATAACATGCTCGGTATTTATTGTCTTCAAAGATTTCAGTTTAAAACTTTCAGTTGTCACGATAGCAAAAAAATCAATGCAAGATGAACTTCCTTGTCTTAATTGCAAATCCTGTTCTTAATGTCTTTTTCTCAGTGTCTCCTTTATCGTGTGCATATTTTACTTGTCTATTAAAAATTCAACTAACACGTTTAAATTCCTAGTGGGTAAACTGCAATATTATATGATATTCAGTTTAATTTATGCAATTCTATGTTGATTCCCCCACCCCCCTTCTTTTGTTTTTGTTTAAACCTGAACAATGCTGTTTTACCTTAGTATTGTGCCTCAGACCAAGCCACCGCATGCAGTTTGAAACTGATATTTGTATAATGCAGACTGAGCTTTAATAAAGAACTCCGTGTTCCGATTTCTCTCATCACAAGATCTGTCACTGATGAATTCTATATAATTTGCATTTGGTTCACACTTCTGGTGTAGTTAATAAAACGGTTAAAATACCTAATACTATAAAATATAAGTATACTTTTTGTGCAAAGTGAGTATATGCATGCATGTGAAAGAAATGAGTGATATTACGGAGTAAGAGACACGAGTAACGTTCTGATAAATCCTTGCATAACCATATGCAATATTTCATAAGGGGGGAAAGTGCAATATTAATTTCCATATTTCCCCCCCAAGCAACTAGGAAGCAGTTAGTTTATATATACTATTGTATTATTCATTCATATATTTTTGTGTAATTTTATTTCTTTTAATAAGTTATTTCAGTTTTAGTAATTTTAGTACATCAACTTATACTTTTCAGCTGCCAATTCTTTAAATGTTTACGATTTTATATAATTTGTATTTTAGCTTTGCTTCAATTAATGAACACAAGTTTGAATGGTTTTAGATAACACAACTGTTGTGGATGACTTGATTATCCACTTTCACATGGGGTTTGTGGCATTATATCAGGACTCTGTCATTAAGACAATCTGGTAAATTACTGTCTGTTTATGTGTGGCAAATAAGGTGCTTATCAATAAAAAATAAGGCAAATGTGCCCACTGGTGGACCAAGTCACTATTGCATCCCACAATGTATACTCAAATATTTCTTAATTAATCCACCGACATTTTGCATACATTCTTTTGCTCTTTTTGCACACATTTTTATTACAATTGTCATGTACATGTCAAAGGTCCTCCTCTGTGTCAACACAATATGTTCAGCTAAAATGGACAGTTAAAACTTGTTAGGAGTTAAACTAATGACTAGTGATGTTTCATCGAAGCGTTAGGAGCAGATCTTGTGTAACGTGACAGGCTGTTGTTTGTGAACGCAGTGTGCTTGTGTGTGTTTCTCCCTTTCACCTGGGAAGAGGGTTCAGGTGTGTGTCGCTGATCTGATTGAAAGACATGTAGTGACAAGCACATCCACAAACAGCAAGATCCCAAAGGAAAGGAAAGATACAGTATCAAGCTTATTACAGAGCTAAACAGCAGGGGAGGTTCAAGCACCAGTGCTGTCACCGAACAAGCTGCAGCATGCCGATCACAATTAAATCAAACCCCATGGTGGAGCTGCGCTCTTCACCCCATCATCTTCATCTGTCTCTACAGTAAATGTCCCAGTCAGTAGACTGATCTTTAATTAAAATGTTTTTAATGTCTGAAAAAATATAGAGATTCTTTTCTCTTTTTTTCAATTGTAGAGATCTTTAGAGACAAACTTAGTCTACAGAGAGAGCAAGAGAGAAATTGAATTGAATTGAGAGAGAGTTAAAATATTAATAATGCAGTAAACATAAAATACATGGACCACAATCTTCAAGTTCTCTGGCATGTTGTGAGACAAAGACAAACAAAATATGCGGTTGCCTATATTTTGTGTACATTTGTCCAATGCGCATCCATGTAGAACATTCTACAGTGACTTTGATAACTGAGAACATAAGTGTCAGAAATTGCAATTTCTACAATATATATATATATATATATATATATATATATATATATATGTGTGTGTGTTGTATTATAATGTTTTAAAATAATAAATGAATTATCTGTTTGTATTGTAACTGAATTATTTGCTCGTAGCAATATCAAAATGATATATGAAGACATTTCCCCCAAAATGTTGGATTTATGTTGTCCTTTTCGTTCATGCCATTCAAAAAATTTGGGGTTGGTAAAATAAAATAAATAAATAAAAGTTTTTTATTGACTGGTTGTCTTTATATTGTCAATTGAATTGCTTACTAAAGGTATTAATTTCTTCCAAAAAGAAGAAGAAGAAAAAAAATACTTTTTAACTGTAGAATATGTCGAAATGTGTTTGTTTGTTTTTTGTCATCAAAAGTATTGTGGTACTAATCCCATTACTAAACAGACAAATCATTTAATATGATGAAAATAATAATACAAAATAGTCATTTTGCCACTTTGTAACATAATACCTTGAGCCCTGGTTATTTTCTGACCCTGAAGTGAATCCACACTGAAAGCAGCTTTGATCAGATGTCTTATGCAATCTTCAGAGATCCCAGAAGAGCTCAGGGGAACTCAGGCGTTGGTAATTCATAGTGTCTGTCGTTCCTCTCCAAACACATGCACATCGAAGCAGCGTCTTTTACATGTTCCTACTCTAAAAATGGATTTAACGGGATTGAGCTCCAAAGGACGCTTTTTGATGGTTTTATGTATAGTTTCTTACCTTTACAAATCCACCGCTGCTGAGGGGAGCTGCAAACTCAAGGCCAAATTCAACCTGAGGGGTTATAAAGAAGTGGAGAAGAAGACGGTGGTTATTGGCGGTATGTTTCCCGTTCATCAGCGCCTAACGGACACTGACAGCAACACCACGATCGCTCCAGAGTCCTCTGATTGTGAGGGGTAAGAAGCTATATTTGATATTTATTATACAAGCGAAAACTCGCCAGGAACTGCGTGATATTTTTTTTTGAAATAGGCAATAACGTTATTCTATCGATATCTTATCTTATGATGTGTAGCCTACTGTCACAATAGTGCACTCAAACCAAACGTGCATACTTGCTTGTCGTTATTAAAATAATATATTTCTAAAATTAAAAGAGGCTTAATTTCAAATGCTTAATTTGTCTTAATTAGTGCGTTTATTGCGTCTTTACTTTGTAATCGCAAAGATTACAAAATCATTGGTCATGCAAAATTAATCAAACTGTTGTCCAAGGAATAATGACAGCTTGTCCTCCTGAGAGACCACTACTTTTATGTTCCATAAACTCACCATCGATGGAAAATAAGCTGTTGTACAGTTTATTGTGCTAATCAACCTGCCTAGAGACATCTAGTGGTGACAGCTGCTATTGCATGTCGTGGTATAAATAGATTTAGATCAGGGCTATTCAATTAGTTTTATTTGAGGGCCGGTGTTCTGACAAATAATGCTGCCTGTCAGATTATGCTACCAACACTGTATTTATCCTACTGTAAGGGTAGGTTTAGGGTTGGGGTAGGTGTACATGTTCATAAAGCCTCACACCTTATTAATATCATGCCGGAAGCAAAAATTGATAGGTAGCACTTTTCGCTCTCGAATTATGCTACAATCTGTTTTAATGGGAGGTAGCAAAATCTGACAGGGTAGCACAAATCGCCAGAACACCGGATTATTGAACTGAAATTTTGAAGGGGGCCAAGGGGTTGGGTGGCTGTCCCGATCTCTTTCTGAGGGGCCTATAAAATTAGAAATGAAATTGAAATGCATATTCAGCAGTCAAATATATAACATGATCAACACCAACATCTATAAAAGGTTAACATTAGTGCTGTCTGTGAATCGATTAGAATAATAATAAAAAAAAAACGAATTATTCCCACGTCTTTCTATAATTAATTGTAATTAGCTGCATATTCATATATTTATATTGTCATAATTGCACATTGAACCTCCAAATTAATGTAGAAACAATATAAAGATGGTATATTTTAAATATGTGTTTAATGGCATATTTTTACTAAGTAGCCTATTATTAACAATGGCCAGTATTTTTGATAACAATGCAATACTGCTACTGATGTCTCTATTAAATGCAATTCCCCTTCAATTTTAGCCATTAATTATAGCAATCCAACAGTACAGTACAACTGAAAGCCATTCTTTTTTAACATTTAGTAGGCCTAGGTTCTGAAAAAATATTATTTTTAACATTTAATTTAAGTGAACTTAAAACAATCTTCACATAAACCAGAAATTGTATATGCATAAATTCATCTTTAGTCAAGCTACCAAACTTAATCAGTGACTAGAGCAGTCGAGTGATTTCTTTTCTTTTGCTCTGTGATTTACATCAATGAGACTTCATCAGCTTTCACTTTAAAAGCAGCGCTGTCACTTTAAAATCTGATGCACATGACGCGTCTCTGACACGTTTCTCCCAACTCTTTACGGTCAATTAGGACTTTATAACTCATTTAAGACCGTGTTTACGAGGTCACTCGCCAAAACCCAGCATTTTGACATAATTCTGTTTTTGTCCATTGAAGCGCTACTGGCGTGCTGTCTGAAGCGGCTCAGATTACAGCCGAACGCGCAGTCTTTCAGACTCCATTCGATAATCATCTTCGTCCAGTGTCTGCGCTATTTCTCGACAGAAGTTATGACGGACAACACTGCCTTTATACTCCTTTAAACTAGAGTTGTGGATATGTCATAACCCCCATTCATTGATGTTAAAGGCACAATATGTAAAAATTCAAAAACCAATAGAACAGTGTTATATATTTTGCTGACTTGTGTAGTTACATTATCCAAATGTTTCGAACAATGTTTAAATCCAGAGAAATAAGCAATTTTAACCGTTAAAGGCACAATATGTAAAAATTCAAAAACCAATAGAACAGTGTTATATATTGTGCTGACTTGTGTAGTTACATTATCCCAAATGTTTCGAAGAATGTTTAAATCCAGAGAAATAAGCAATTTTAACTAGTGACACGGACCGTGTCTGTAGTGTCATTGTGTCGCCTGCCAATGACGTCAAAACCCCTCGATTTCCGGTTTTGTTTTGTAGAAAACATGGAAACACCAAAGACGCTTTAATATGTTGTGCGTATTAATAGACCGGTGACGACCGCACAGAGTAGCATTATAACAGAACTTTCAAATGTATCTAGTATGATAAAACAGCGGTACTTTTTCCCCACATACGCACGACCGGAAGGAGCGGTAGCGGTCGACTGTGGCATAATAAAAGCTCCGCTGCTTTCGAGCCGTGTGTCACGCTTGTTCAGCGGCCTCGTTTAGCTTCGACGGCTTTCAGCCTCACCCTGCTTCATTCTACTACGTTAATAAATCATTAGCTCATCCATGAACATGATTTCTGCCCGAGTCCCGTCGGATTGCATCGGCTGTGGGGATGAAGACCACAACTCCCATGAT